AGAGTCGGTCACGACTGGACCTAATGGTCAGGGGTCCCTTTACCTTTACCTATATGGATAGCAGGTGACACGTGCATTATATATATGTTCCCCCTTCAGAACTGTTCCTGTTCAAACGCTAATTTCATACCCTCCAACATTTCTCCAATGAAAATAGGGACGTCCTAAGGGAAAATGGGACATTTGGGGATCAAATCAGAAACCGGGACAGCTTCTGTTAATCCAGGAATGTCCCTGGAAAATAGGGACACTTGAAGGTGTCTGTATTTGGTCCATTAGCAGCTTTATCAAAACTAGGTGCAAGAACCTATCATGAATACCTCCCTTGTTCTCTTAGAACGGCAATGGCACCCAGCTCAGAGATTCTGGAACTGAGTTCCAGCTGAAAGAAAGCCCTATATGTATATAGGCCTCCTAGTGGCAACCCATAATACTGATCGGGCCTGCAGCCACTTACTGTATTTACGCAAATCTAATGCGCCATTGAATCTAATGCACACCCTAATTTTCGCGACGTAATTTGGCATTACATTCAAGTAAATACAGTAACTTTGGTGACTATGGACAGGCCTGTATCACCAGGTGCTCCTAGGCCATCTGCTAGCCCCAAAGTAACTTCTACATGTCAGCTGCTTGGACAGGAGACCATGTGGGAACCATATGGAAGCTACTCAAAGCTCTTCAAAGTGTAAGCACGGCTGATAAATAAAAATAAATCCCGACGAGAAACCCTGACATCTGGCCTGCGCGCTTCATAATCCACGGGGCAAAAATGCAGCCCATCAGCCATTTATGGTGGACCTTGGAAAATCTGGCGCCCTGCTTGGAATTACAAAAATGGTGTGTGCGCAATTTGTGTTCGTTTGACAACTGTGAGGGAGGCTTGACCTACCGATGAAGAGAAAGGGTTGTTTCAGAAGTATGACTGTGTTTAAACTGAAGGGAAGGGTGGCTGCTCAATTTGCGTTAAGCTCAATAGCAGGAAAGTACAGTGGTACCTCGGGTTAAATACTTAATTCGTTCCGGAGGTCCGTTCTTAACCTGAAACTGTTCTTAACCTGAAGCACCGCTTTAGCTAATAGGGCCTGCTGCTGCTGCCGCGCCACCGCCACGCGATTTCTGTTCTCATCCTGAAGCAAAGTTCTTAACCCGAGGTACTGTTTCTGGGAGTCTGTAACCTGAAGCGTATGTAACCCGAGGTACCACTGTAGATACAACTATTTTTATTTCTTTTTAGTTACAGAAACATTTTAGTTTCCTAAGGTTGCAGAGATTTGTTCAGAGACCATTATTCCTCTCCTAGAGTGGTTTAACAGTCCATCTGTCTTCATGGGGAACTCTGGAAATTGTAGGTCTGTGGGGGGTATAGGGGCCTCCTAACAACTCTCAGCACCCTTAAAAAAACTACTAGCTTGTCCCTTGCTAACTCTGGTATAAGCAAGGGTCCTTGGTAACCACAAGGAAGCATGCTTTTTTCTTTCTCAGGGTCACAAAAACCCAGCAGCAGAGGAGAGTGAATGTGGGGGCCTGTGATTTACAAATTCATTTCCTCCCTGACCCAGAGCTGTAATTATAATAATGTCCTATCCTGTCATCAGCATGTCCAGAACTTCCGTCTCCCAATCTCCGCAAACAGGAGCGGTGGTAGAAATGCCAGCACACTCTCAGCAAATACCACAGGGGCAAAGAAGTTAATAGACACCACATTTAATGCACGAGCAACTCCCGGTGCTGAACACAGCTGCAATTAGCAGCAGGGAGAGGAACAGCGTTACCATTTACTCTCGCTCCAGTGCGCTCCCACTGCCGCTGCTTCAAGCTGTGCGCTCCTGACGTTAGCCACAATCCATACCTATCCTGTAATTTCTTGAGAAATACAACTGTCTGGTGTGTCTTTCCTCAACTCAACTTCCGCACATTTTGAAAACATAAGCCACACTAACTTCAGAGTTCTTATTATTTATTAAACTTATTCGTCATTGTTTTCCTACCAATATAACCCAAGGTGACCCACAACAATAAATAAATAAATAACAGTAAAACCATCATAAAACAAAGCACAGAAGAAGCAATTTTTTAAAAAGCAGAATTAAAACACCCCACCCATTGAAGGGGACCACAGATAATTAAAAGCCAAAGGCCTGGCAGGAAAGAAATGTTGGCTAGGGGCATTAGCTTAACAAAGAGACTGGTTTGACAGCTTCAGCAGCTCTTTTACAACAAGGGTGGGGGGTACGAGTCTTGGCCCACTGCAGGGCTCAGGTTAGCATGTGAGCCCATTTTCTCTAGCCATGCTCACAGTCCATCAGTTTATAGGCAAGAGGGTTGGGCTCAGTCCTGCTGGGTATTACAGTACTTGGGACACTGCATCCCCTGTGCGGAATGCGTTGTCAAAGCAGATCCCTGCAGCCAGCAGGATTCAGGGGCAAAACTAGGCTTTATTTCACCTCGGTCAAAGACACAGTTTGGCACACACACCCCATCTGCAAATTTGCTTACACACACACATACAAAGAGAGAGAGAGAGGCTTGGGGCCTCAATGACATCCTTCTGGAGGCTTCACCCAGGGCAAAAATAACCTGGCTAGCCCCCCCCCCCTCCCCAGGTACTGCTCTGCAGGATTGAATCCTCGTCTCATCAGCTGGATAGCAGAGTGTTCTATCCAGCTGGGTGCTGCTTTGCCAGTGTGTTCCTGGTGGAGACTACTCTGGCAAGGCAGATGCCCTCCCCTCCAGACGATTGACAGGTGGGTGGCTCTGTGGGGGTTCAGAAAGATTCAGATCTGTCCTGTTCTGCTAGTTGCCAAAAAGCTTCCTCTGTTCTACATAATCCCCTCTTGAGGATATAAAACAAGAGATTTGGAAGACACCTAAATATGCCCCTCCCTGTCCTATAACTTTTCTTTAGGGTTGGGCCTTGTACCTGGCTCTTAGTTCATCTTGGTTGTACACAATAATAATTAAAAAACTCTTTCAGGCAACTATTAATTCTTTTCTTTTGTATAAAATTTTCACACTTGTGGGTGACCGACTGGAACCAAAAAAGCTCAATAGTTTTTTTAAATAATCAGCTTTGGCAGAGTGTGGCACAGTGCAGAATAATTTATTGCTGTATTCATTGGCAAAAATGTGGGCTAGCTGCAAATTGTGTCCCTCTTTGTTAGTGATGTCTGTTACCTGGATCTGCACTGCCATAAAATTAAAACATTTTTCCTTTGTTAAAAAGCTTGCCAAGGGAATAGAGAAGTGGAAATTTATTTGACGCTAGTGTGCCACCATGTGGTCTTCAGTGAAAGAAAAATAAAGATTTTAAAATTATATATGGCAGAGGAAATAGCTGCTGTGGCTTGTCTAGGATATTTTGGGTTGCATCCACATGGTCCGTTGGTTGAATTTCCATCCTGATCTGTTTGCCCAAAGTTTGCAGGGAGATTGTAAGAGGTTGGCTGCTTATTCATTCTGACTTATAGTTGCCATATTTTGAAGAGCAAAACAGAGGACACATTGGTCACCTTCTCCTATTAACTATGGATCACTATGACGACTCTCATTCTAAAATACCCATGAAAAACAGGATGTGTCCTGGAAAAACAGGACATTTGGCAAGCCTATTTGTGTGCAGGTCAATTGTTATCCTACACTTTCTAGTAGTGCATTCCCCACTGAGTTCCTTACTGCAAAAAGGGCCATTTTAATTTCATTTTTAATATGTTTATAGCACAAGAACAAATCCACTTTAATTGTGCCCCCTCAATTCATTTAATTCCACCAGAAAAACTGCTACAATCGAGACATGACATAACATTTTATGCTATCAGACCAATAGTCCATCTAGCTCAGGATTGCCTCTGAATACCAGTTGTTGGGGATCATGACAGGGGAGAGGGATTTTTGTTCTGCCATGCTCTTTGTGGGTTTCCCAGAGGCATCTGGATAACCAATCTAAGAACAGGATGCTGGACTAGACGGACCATCTGTTTGATCCAGCGGGGCTATTCTGGTGCTTGTTACTCACCAAATGACAAAATAAGGATAAAACAGCAAGAACTCATCAGGAGCAAGGACTGCAAACCAGAGGTCAGTTGGAACATTCAGTATGTGTGGAATTGTACGTGTGCTTAATTAGGAGCAGCCTTTCTGAGCTCAAAAGAACCTGCTTGCAAGTATGTACAGAATTCTGCTAAAGGATTTTGGTGGCAAGTATGCACAGAACTGTGCTAAAGAAATTAGTTGTAAGTATGCACACAATTGTGCTAAAGGAATTTGGTGGCAAGTATACACAGAACGCAGTTGGCGCTGTGGGTTAAACCACAGAGACTAGGACTTGCCGATCAGAAGGTCGGCGGTTCGAATCCCCGCGACGGCGTGAGCTCCCGTTGCTTGGTCCCTGCTCCTGCCAACCTAGCAGTTCGAAAGCATGTCAAAGTGCAAGTAGATAAATAGGTACCGCTTCGGCGGGAAGGTAAACGGCGTTTCCATGTGCTGCTCTGGTTCACCAGAAAGTGGCTTAGTCATGCTGGCCACATGACCTGGAAGCTGTACGCCGGCTCCCTCGGCCAATAAAGCGCTTATGAGCGCCGCAACCCCAGAGTCGGTCACGACTGGACCTAATGGTCAGGGATGTTTTTACCTTTACCTTATGCACAGAATTGTGCTAAAGAAATTAGTTGTAAGTATGCACAGAACTGTGCTAAAGAAATTTGGTGGCAAGTATGCACAGAACTGTGCTACAGAAATTAGTTGTAAGTATGCACAGAATTGTGCTGAAAGGAATTTGGTTGCAAGTATGCACAGAACTGTGCTAAATGCACGTTAGTTAACTGCGTCTAACCAAGCGGGCACCATATGCTTCTCTTCTCAAGTGTAAGCGCAACTGGACCCAAAAGCCTCTGCAGGCCTCCCAGAACTCAAAGCGTCGCCATGGCGACGAGCAAGCGTCTCTCCGAAGGCGCCGCTCGGCACTCGACTCACCCCCTGTCTACGTGGCTCGGCAACTCGGCTCTGCGGGCTGCGCAGCCGGCCGGCGCATGCGTATTAATTCGGCTCCCCCGTCGGCGTGCCGCTCAGGTTTTCTCTTGGTGTGCGGCGGCCGCGGGGAGCGAAAATGGTGAAGCTGACGGCGGAGCTCATCGAGCAGGCGGCGCAGTACACAAACGCCGTGCGGGACCGGGAGCTGGACCTGCGCGGTGAGGGACTCGGCCTTGTGGTGTTGGTGGTGGTGGCGGCGGCGGCCTGGGAGCGGGAAGCGCGCGGCGCTTGCTTGGCCTTAGTAGGCCTGAAGCACGCGGGCAGTAGGCAAGGCGAGAAGGGGAGCTGAGTCGGGGGACGGTGGCTCAAGAGGGTCACGTTAGGTGGCCCACGTGGGTCGCGCTGCCTCTGTCCTGGAAAGGGGGTGGTTGGCGTACCTGTTGCAGCTGGTGGTAATAGGAGCCCAATGCCGCAGAGGTCACCTGGGCCTTAAGGAGCAAAGTTGGCTCGGTGGGCACCCTCAAAATAATGGACAGATGCTGATGTAAGAAGAACCCTGTTGCATATACAGTGGTACCTCGGGTTAAGTACTTAATTCGTTCCAGAGGTCCGTTCTTAACCTGAAACTATTCTTAACCTGAAGCACCACTTTAGCTAATGGGGCCTCCTGCCGCCGCCACGCTGCCGGAGCACGATTTCTGTTCTCACCCTGAAGCAAAGTTCTTAACCTGAAGCACTATTTCTGGCTTAGCGGCGTCTGTAACCTGAAGCATATGTAACCCGAGGTACCTCTGTACTGTAGATAGGTAAAGGGACCCCGACCATTAGGTCCAGTTGTGGCCAACTCTGGGGTTGCGGCGCTCATCTCGCTTTACTGGCCGAGGGAGCCAGCGTACAGCTTCTGGGTCATGTGGCCAGCATGACTAAGCTGCTTCTGCCGAACCAGAGCAGCGCACAAAAACATCGTTTACCTTCCCGTCGGAGTGGTACCTATTTATCTACAGTGGTACCTCAGGTTAAGAACTTAATTTGTTCTGGAGGTCCATTCAACCTGAAACTGTTCTTAACCTGAGGTACCACTTCAGCTAATAGGGCCTTCCGCTGCCACTGCGCCACCGCCATGCAATTTCTGTTCTCATCCTGAAGCAAAGTTCTTAACCCGAGGTACTATTTATGGGTTAGCGGAGTCTGTAAACTGAAGCTTCTGTAACCTGAAGCGTCTGTAACCCAAGGTACCACTGTACTTGCACTTTGACGTGCTTTCGAACTGCTAAGTTGGCAGGAGCAGGGACTGAGCAACGACCCGCCGACCTGATCAGCAAGCCCTAGGCTCTGTGGTTTAACCCACAGTGCTACCCGCGTCCCGTTTCATATATAGACAGTCTCTAATAAGAGGCCATCCACACAGTTCCAGGAAACTCAAAACGAGCTAATGAAGACCCTTACACCGTCATGTTTAGTATTCATTTTAATTTATTAAATCTGTATACCACTCTTTATCTGTATATCACGGGGCAGATCACAACATAAAAATGCAAAATGGGAACACAGAATACAAAGCAAAACAAAACAAAAACACCTAATAACCCTCCCTCCCTCCCTCCCACAAGTATTTGGCATATAGAGTGATTTCTTAAGAATAGACCTTTTAATTAGCTGTTGCAGCTGTTAACTGTTGATGGAATTTCCTTCTGTGAGCCTGCTTTTTTAAAGCAATTTAAGAGAATGGCTATTACCCAGTGGCGTAGCGTGGAGGGTGCAGGGGGGGCCGGCCGCACTGGGCGCAACATCTGGGGGGGGGGGCGCTCGCACTCGCAGCTCTCTGCCCCTACCTGGCTCCATGGGTTAGGGGGCGCAAATTACTTGCCTTGCCCCGGGTGCTGACAACCCACGCTACGCCACTGCTATTACCACAAAGGAAGCTGCCATATACTGAGCCGACCATTGGTCTATCTTGCTCAGTGTTGCTTCTACATTGACTGGTAGTGACTCTCTAGTGTTTCAGACAGAAGCCTCTCTGAGCCCTACCTGAATTTTCCAGATATTAAACCTGAGACCTTCTTCAAACAAAGCATGTTCTCTACCTGTGAGCAAAGGCACACCCGTTATTTAACATGACTTGTAGCAGTGAGAACTACGAATTAGTATTGAGTGCTTTGAAGTACTATTTTTCTCTGCCTATCCTAAAACTGCTGGCACACAATTTCACTGAGTAACCCCAAGTCCATCCCCTCAGAATTGTCAGGATAGTTGTAAGAAACACTGAGGTGATAGTTTTCTTTCATATGTTGTCTAATGCATAACTGAAGTATATATTTCTCCTGCACTATAGTTTGTTTGTTTTTGTCCCATGTTGCATCATCAGGATATAAGATCCCTGTGATTGAGAACTTGGGCGCTACCTTGGACCAGTTTGATGCTATCGATTTCTCTGACAATGAGATTCGGAAGTTAGATGGGTTTCCTCTGCTGAAAAGACTGAAAACATTGCTGATGAATAACAACAGGTTAAGGTGAGTGTCTTTCCAACTGCAATTTTAAGGTCTCCTTGGCTGCAGTTCTCGATACTCTACTTCTTGTACCACTTATTCAAGTCTAAGCTTAAAAGCAGTTGAAGTTTGGGGAAGAGGACTTACAACTTCCAAGATAATAATTATTCTGATGGCTCCCCCCCCCATTTTTTTTAATTTTTTTTAGCCGAATAGGTGAGGGACTTGAACAGTCTTTACCAAATCTCAAGGAGCTCATTCTTACCAACAATAACATCATGGAATTGGTAAGTGAAATAAAGGATGAAAGAAATTGGAATGATTGAATGACATACACTCAATCACTAGAAAGGCCCCAAATTTTCTAAGATAGGGTTTTCTTGCCTTTTTTTTGATTACGTGAGGCAACTTTCTCAGTGAAGATTTTACCCATTCTGACTTCTTGAGAGCAGTTGCAATGTAGCAGATAATACCAGTGAAATGTTACTCAGCATATTGTTTCCATGTTGTTGCTTAAAATAAAGAAATGGCCTAGGTTTGCACACAACATTAAACCATGGTTTTGTGCTACATGCATGAGCAAGATGACCCTGAGCAGCACTGCTCTCCCATTTCTTCCTTCCATGCAGCTGGGAGTCCTTGGCAGCGGTTAAATTTTGCTTTCCCCGATCACAGCTTATCATTGCGAATGACCTAGAGATTGTGATTTGTAACAAATTCTGCTAAGTTTAAATAAGCCAGCTTCAGAAACAACAGTTTGAAGCTTGTGGCCCTCCAGATGTTAATGGACTCCTGCTGCCTTCAGTCAGCATGGCAGCCCTTTGATATCTACCATCAATCTTGGCTGGTTGCTTGGTCTGAAAATAAATGGCCATAAAGGCTTGCCTGAGCTTAGAAAAAGCAAAGTTAAACAAATAAGCTCTATGATCCAAAACTACCTGAAAAACCTGAACTTAAAATTATTTCTTAATCAGACACTGTATTTTGTTAATACGCAGTTTTGCCATTGATATTTGTACAGTGGTACCTCGGGTTAAGAAATTAATTCATTCTGGAGGTCCGTTCTTAATCTGAAACTGTTCTTAACCTGAGGTAACACTTTAGCTAATGGGGCCTCCCGCTGCTGCTGCACCGCCAGAGCACGATTTTTGTTCTTATCCTGAAGCAAAGTTCTTAACCCGAGGTACTATTTCTGGGTTAGCGGAGTCTCTAACCTGAAGCGTCTGTAACCTGAGGTACCACTGTATAGGAAAATGGTGCACATGTTGTCTCCGTATAAGATCACAGATTTTCTTTTGGTGCATTTATATGTGGAGAGAAGCAATGTCCAATTGGAAATAGCATCTACATACAATATGGTTGGGTGTAGTAAGCCATACACACCCTTGGAGAAGAGCTCAGTAACCAAGTGAAAAAAATCAGTTGAAAATAAATCCCCTAGAATGTAAACTGACCCCATAAATAACTTTTGTTGCTTCTGTTCTGGGTGAATTTTTGAATGGAAAGACACTAAGGTTAAATTGTCTTGCTTTTACAGTGTAAAGCCATACAACTGAGACAAATGTGTTTAACATGTTTCACATAGTGAGTTAAGCCTAACTGTTCTTAAGCTATAAAGTTTGAAATGCATGCAATGATCCTCATTTTATAGTATAATTAACTCTTGGTTAAGGGGCCTCAGTGTGAGCTGGAAAACGTATATTAACATAGCTTTAACTACATTTCTGTTTCTCTTATTCAGGGTGATCTAGATCCTTTGGCAACTGTCAAATCACTAACATATCTGAGGTATGAGATAATTCACCTTTGTGATCAAATATTATAATATGCCTTCCTTACCAAACGTCTGTCCTATAAATTAAGGTTGGCAACAAGATCTGCCAAATATTTTTTTCCCTGAAGCCTTCAACACTTAATAGAACTAAGAGGGCTTGCTTTGTTTTCCCAAAGCTCTCTAGGGATTTCCAAGTGTGGAGTTGTGGTAAGAATTCACCTCTACACCCCCACTGTTTGTTACCCAGGTGAGGGATCACCTTTTAAATGAACCACAGAACCAAGGAAACTGTTTCAAGTCCAGCATCCAGATTTAGGGACTCCGCGTTTTTATTTATTTTATGTATCTATTGCAATAGAGCTCAACCCAAAGTGCTAGTGGAGAGGGTTTGCTCCGAGGCACTTCAGAGCAAAAGCTTATATAGTAGTTCAAACGCAGCAAACGAAGACTCATAAAACATCTTCACATACGTCAGGAAAGGTTACAGGTCATGAAACAGAAAAAATGTATGGCCTTTTCCTGCTTTCCACTCCCCCTGCTGTCACCTTGTGGTTGACCAGCAGTGCCTAGACCTTTTGCCCATTTTGGCTATTGGATGTCCCACATTGCCCTGGCAGCCTAGTCTATTATCATTCTTTGCTGACGTTTCTCCATCTATCTTTCAGGAAGCTTCCAAGGATTTCTGATTAAGACTCTGGTACTAACTCATATGAAAACATCCTGCCATTTGTGCTGCTTTCAAGGTCAGATAAGGAGAGATGGAATGCAGCGTAGGCGGGAGAGTCTCACAAATGAGAACACACAAAACTCAAGTCTAATACATTCTGTCCAACAGTTAAATGCAAAGAAAGTGAAACGCTGAAACATTATTAAAATAATAAAAATGTACACCTGGGGTCTTTAGATGTGAATTCTTACCACAGAGTGACGCTTCTTCACAAGAGTAGAGTATAATAAAAGTATGATGAGATAAATAATTATATATTGAAGGGATCCATGTTTATTTTATGTAATTAACATTTGCATAGTTCATTTTTTAACATTTTGCTGAGGCTTTTTCAGAATGAAATGAAAATGAAAAGATTATGCTTCATATAAAATATAAAATATTCAGATAATATTTTGATTCATAGATGGCACCGGATATCTTAGGTCTTTGAAATAGGTGTCACGTCTTCCTGTCTCTGATTGTAATGTTTGCATAAACTTTTATGTTCATGAGCATCACAAACAGATATGCATTAACACGTAGCAGATTAGTAGGTCCTGCCTCCAATAAAATTAAATTTGAGAGCAGTTCTGACATCAGTAACCCACAAACGGTGACAGCAATCAAAGCTCTTATTCTTCATCAAATAGTGTAATCAGGTTACTTTTGGTTATTAATCTCCCCTTAATTAGTCAAGCAACTCGGCTTTTTACCTTGGTCCTCAAAGTGGCTGGTGGACCAAAGCATGGTTAAGAGGTTGGCAGGACTAGGGTCTTGCCATTTGGTCTGGCCTCTTAAAAATAATTATTCCCAACATTGGTAAGAACCTGGGAGATGAAGGGGAAAAGACACTTGGCAATAGGGAATGTTGTGCCAAAACATTCCTCTTCAGCAGTGCCTTTGTTTGAACTGTGTAAATATGTTTCTCCTTTTCCTCCCTTCAGTATTTTAAGGAATCCAGTGACAAATAAGAAGCATTATAGGTTGTATGTCATCTTCAAGGTCCCACAAGTCAGAGTCCTGGATTTCCAAAAAGTGAAATTAAAAGTAAGTGTTTTGGCAATTGTGAAGAATTTGTCTTTTGAGAAGCCATGCATTTAAATGTTTACTACTTGAGTTTTCTTTTCGTGCCTATAGTATAACATAATTTTCTCATTATAACGCATTTTCAGACTGTGACATTTGTTTATGGCTATGGCTCTGCAAATGTAATTCTGAATGCCTTTCTCATGACCATACAGATATCATGAAAACACATTTATGAATCTGCAGTCATAAGCCCGGAAGCTTTTTTATTTGGAACTGTATTTTAGATTTGAATCATTATTAACATAAATACAGGATTGCCTTCTCCTCACCAATCAGCAAATGTTAGCCTAAATGAAAGCTTGAAGCAGTTTTCAGACGATAAACATGCTGAAGCATTTTAGTATATATCTTATTGTGTGTTCTATTTACTTGAAATAGTTTTTGTGAAGGTAATTCCTAGAAATGGGGGGGTGTCTGTTCCCTGCCCGCAGCTGTGGCTGGAGGAAAGAAAGCAGAGTCTTATCAAATATGCTTTGAGATTAAATGTAGTTTCTTGTGTAACAAATAAACTCTAGTTTGCCTGCTGGCTGTGACTTCAATCAACTTCATACTGTTTTTGAAGTGAAATTAATGGACAGGAACTATTGTGTGGTGGGGAAAATCTCAGTGGACTCCCTTGCCATCTGAGCTAAATGGAAAATAGATCTTTCTTGTGAAGGGTTATAGGTTTCACTAGGGCCAACTTTTAAGGCTTCATCTTGATGCTACCTTGCTTTTTCAAGAATTGCACATCACCGTGCCATTTCATTTTGGGAGACAGGAGCTATGCACCGTATACATGCTTCTATTGAATGTTGCATTAACTCTGTGTGTGTGGTATCGCTGTAGGAGCGTCAGGAGGCAGAGAAAATGTTCAAGGGCAAGCGGGGTGCACAGCTTGCAAAGGATATTGCCAGGAGAGCAAAAACGTAAGATACAGATAACCACTTTAAACTGGCAGTCTCCTTCAGAAACACCACAGCCGGTTTGTAAATACTCTTGGGCTGTAAGAAAATTGAGTGGTCGGTGCGCTAGTTAGCACCAAAATTGCCTAGCTGATGAATGGCAATCATTGCTGCTTTTTCTCGACAAGTACATTATGAACCCTGACAGTTTTAACATCCAAGCTAGCAGCTTGAACAACACATCCGATTGATATTTTTTTCATAAAAGGCTCTAAAAAGGGTGGGATGTGGGAAGGTCACTCTGCTGGTGTTTCTGAAGGAGCTATTACTTGATTGTATCAGTTTGTTAACAAAGATAAGATACTACACCTGATTGAAATTGGTGCTTCCGGGGACTTCTCTTTGGAAGCTTGAGAAGCATGACAATAACTCTTTGACTTTAACAAGGCGTCTTTTTTCCTTCTGAAGTTTCAACCCAGGTGCTGGCTTGCCAAGTGACAAAAAGAAGGTGGGCCCTTCCCCAGGAGATGTGGAGGCTATTAAGGTAATGTTTTTCAGACTTGTACAGGGAGGAATCTACCAAGAAAAACATTCACTGTCATTTACTTCCAGAAGATAGATCTATCTATGTGTGTATTGAGTGTGCCACATTGCTTTGTTTTTCAGGTACTGACATAGTTTGCGTAGCTTTCCTTTGCAAATAAAGAGTTCAGATTTTGTAAACATACTATAACTGTCTTGCACCTTATTGCAAAAATTCAAGTTTCTAAGTGGCCAGATCAACACAGTCTGATAGCTAGGGGTAGATATCAGTAGGTTAAAAATGTATTTGTCTAAGGAGGAACAGCTAAAATGTAATAGGTAATAAAATGTCACCCTCTAGCTGGAATTGAATTGAACTCTTCTTGACATGCTGAATCGTTTTCAGAGCCAGTGTGGTGTGGTGGTTAAGAGTGGTAGATTCGTAATCTGGGGAACCTCCACATGCAGCTGCTGGGTGACCTTGGGCTAGTCACACTTCTCTGAAGTCTCTCAGCCCCACTCACCTCACAGAGTGTATGTTGTGGGGGAGGAAGGGAAAGGAGAATGTTAGCCGCTTTGAGACTCCTTCAGGTAGTGATAAAGCGGGATATCAAATCCAAACTCTTCTTCTTCTTCCTTGGTGTTCAGACCAGTCTTGTTAGCACTGTTGTAATAGGCACAGTTCAATTGTTGTGAAACAGGCATTGAATTTAATGTTAACAGTGTTGCATAAGTGACCTTTGATTTTTCCCTTTAAGAATGCCATTGCTAATGCCACAACACTTGCTGAAGTAGAGAGGCTGAAGGGTCTGTTGCAGGCTGGTCAGATACCTGGCAGAGATCGCAAAGCAGGTAAGGAATATCGTTGGAACCCTTATTCTTGCAGGACATTTAGAACAGAGGTTGGACTGCCCCTTTTCTCTCTCTTTCTTCCTCTCCGCGCAGGGGAGTTGGCCCTTGTCAGAAGTCAATAACAGCAACACTCACACCCCTGCCACCAGCCAAACAATACCCCAGCCCAAGAATCTGTTCAGCAGCCTTGGCTTTTGTAGCTGGAGTCAATCACAACCCTGCCCTCCCAGGCCAGGTGGGAAAAGGCCTGCCAGGCAGGGAGCGGGTCTTCCAGGACTCACAGCCAAGATGGTATAAGGCAGCTTCTGATTTTTAGACAGCTAGAAGTTTTAAGAAAGCTAGGATTTTCCATAGCCTAGAAAAGGCAGCTATGCAAAATTAAATATTTATTTGCAGCAGTAGTTAGTAGAATGGCTATTATTGCAGCATGAGGAAGCAAACAAGTTAAGAACCAGCAAATGCACTTAATGCTAGTGAGCTAAATTTGAAGCATCAAAAGCCCATCTTTGGAATACTTCCATAGAATAAAGCAGACCTGTACAGTCACTCCTTATCATCAGCTTCACATTTGTGGTGGAGAGAATGATTAAAATAATTGTGCTCTTTTCTTTAGGCCCTATGGATGAGGCTGAAGAAGAGATGGAGGAAGATTCAATTGCCAATGGATCCTAAAATGCATTTTTCTGCATCTGGGAAGTCTGCAGAATACTCTGTACCATTGTCTGTCAAAGCCTTTTGATTGATTGCTGAAGTGGAATTATTATTTTTTTGTAGTTTTTGTTCAGAATCACTCTTGTTAATTTTTTATACTGTACATTTTGAAGTAAAATTAAAACTTCTTTCCTAAACGCAGCATAACATTTGGTGCAAACAGTTGGTTTTAAAATAATATTATTGCAGCCTTATGTTCTGTGTACCACCGTCCCACCTCTAAGTGCGTGTGTTGGTGCCATTACATCTAAAGTTTCAAGCCATAGTTTGCACTTGCCCTCCATACCAGGAGGTTACATGTGAACTATTGTTGGTTTAAAAACTTTCCTTTTGGAGAGATGCAGTTCACTTGCAGAGAGCCATGGCCACACAGTTTCTTGTTTGTTCCAGAAATCACAGAGAAGAAAGGTGTTGGAAGAGAGGCCTCTAAGATACAGTTACCAGATTTTTTCAATGTATCCAGGGACACTTTTTTTGGGAAGCTGAGTAGCAACAGGGAGTCAGTAGTGGGGATGGTGAGGCAAAAGACCCTGGGCCCAAGCACACATGCATATTGTATAAAGGTGCAAAGCCCTTCTTTTGCACCCTGTGAAACATAAATGCGCAGTTTTTTAACGCCCTTGACTCCCGAGCTTCCCCTGATCTCCTGTCCCCCTCCTCCTTTGTTTTGACCGATTGGGGGGAGGCTCGGGAGTCACGGGTGGGCGGCTGTTGCCCAGTTGTTTTTTAAAAAAACTGTGCATTTATGTATCACAGGGTGCAAAAGAAGGGCTTTGCACCTTGCCTGGCAGAGAAACCATGCACCTTGTGCCCCTCCTGGGCAACACCTGCCCACCCGTGACTCCCAAGCCTCCCCTGATCCGTCAAAACAAAGGGGGAAGAGGGCAGGAGATCTGTACCACTGGACGTCCCTGGTTCCCCTTCGGCAGTGGTGGCGGTAGCGAGCAGCTCCTGAAGCCAGCCAGAGCCAACTGCACTACCAGGCTGGCTCCAGGCTGCTGAGGCTGCTACTGCCACTGCCACATTTCCAGGGGACAGATTTGCAAATCCGGGGACGACTGGTAACCCTACTCTTAAGAGCCTGCTAAGCCACACCCACACTGGCAACTTAAGCTCAGGGCTCAGGTTAGGCCTTTCATGCACACAAGTGTGAATCAATAACTATACTACAGCAGTTATTACCTCAGAGAAGGTAAGGTTGACCCCTATTTTGACACAAATGTCAGCCAGAACGTCTGCATTGCTTCTGTTACATGCCTTGGTGAGTGTTGGATGTGTGAATGTGAATCCACCTTATTATAATCCACCCCCATCATTCAGCCCGAACACTCTTTTTTGTGGAGGTCCAGATTCCCTTAGGGGGTGTTTTGTGGGAGGTACATTTTGTTGGTGGACAGGGCTGTAGCTTGTAAGTGGAGCCAGAGCTAAAAGTGGGCAGGGTTTTATGTTACTTCCTCTGTACCCGGGAAGCTGCCTGGGGAGAGACAGATCGTTCTCAGTGGAATTCTGAATTGTTTCTTCTCTCCTCCATTCGCCCCCACCCCATGTGAAATCAAGTCAGTGGCTGCAGTTTCCCCATTTTTAGTGTCTAAGGGCCTGCTGCTGCCACCCTTTATTTGGCAAATGCTCTGGGTATGAACGCGGTAACATTGCAAGTATCTCCTCTTCTTTACTTGCTGTGGGAGGGGCCAGTTCTTCTTATTGATGGGACTCCCTCAACCATTAGATCTCTGGGCTTCTTGTGGCTTGACCTAGCCTCTTCTGTCCTATCTGGGATGGGGCTATGAGCCACACACGAAAACTTCCATCTCTTCTGTGTAGTAACGCAGCCAGGGCCAAAGCCTAGAGCCATGTAGCCACACATCCCATGATCACCCAAAGAGTGGCAGGTGATGGGAAGCACTGGCAAACGGATCCTGCATCAGTATTTGGATCAGGCTCACGCCAGGCCCACAAAATTTGCCATTGGTTGCCACAGTATCCTCCCCCCCCCACAAAGGATTCCACACGAAAAACGCTTATGTCCCTGTGGAGATGGCAATACTGAATTGGTGCATGCCCTTCTAGCTTGCACTCTTTATAAAGACTTGAGGAATGAGATTATCACCCCTATTTTATTGTCTATTCTGGGTCGCCGAACCACTGCCACTGTCCTTTCTCTTGGCAGATCAAGGTTGCAAGGTTTTTAGTTGGGGCACTCAGAATAAGATCCACTACAGTGGACGCTCGGGTTGCGAACGTGATCCATGCGGGAGGCATGTTCGCAACCCGCAGCGCCGCATCTGCACGCACACGGGTTGCGATTCGGCGCTTCTGTGCATGCACAAAGCGTGATTTAGCACTTCTGTGCATGCGCGGCCACTGAAACCCGGAAGTGACCCGTTCCAATACTTCTGGGTTTCGGCACGTCCGTAACCTGAAAAAACACAACCTGAAGTGTCTGTAACCTGAGATATCACTGTATTTGACTATTGATTCAGAACCCTAAAATGTATTTGTGGTGATCACACAGGGTCCCCGGACGTTTGATGGTCTATTTATCCCTGTGCCACCACTGTGCTCGCTTCCCCGCTGCCACCAACCCGTTACTCTCGGGTACACACTGAGTCCAGACAGTTAAAATTAAACCAAATAAACAAGTTTATTTTATAAGCATTAACAAGTTTATGGTTTCTCAGATAATTTTCTTGTCAGTTTCTTAACCTTAGTTTCTTTACCGGCCTATACCTTCCTAATACCTTCTGACTGATTATCTCAGCTGTTTGTCTGACTCCTCTTAACAGATTCTCTCGCTCTCTCACATCAGACTAGCCCAACCCACAGACTTATCCTCCCTCTCTCTTCTCTAACTCCAGACTGACTTCTTAACAACTCGAACTTGAATTCGAACTCCTCCCCTTGGGTTCCTATAGGTTAGTCATTTTACAATTACTTAACCCTTTCCTTATGAACCCAGTATGATGTCACACACCTAGGAGGGCAAACGCCACAGTATTTTATATAATTGACTTTTTATTTCTATTCTTTGTATATTGTATTGTTGTTTTATTGCTATGGCCAATGGCTGACGCAAATAAAGATTTTCATTCATTCATTCTCTGCTCCTGCCTTTGGGCTTCACAGAAGCATCTTATGGACTAGATAGGTCTTTGGCCTGATCCAGCAGGGCTTTTCTCATGCTCTTGTATCATGGTAATATTTTTATTTTAAAAATATATTTGTTTCTACAAACAAAATGTGCATGTTCCCAGGTAAGTGTGTTTAGCACCAGACTTGTAGCGCCAAAAATTCCTGGACCCGTGAAGGTGCTGTGATTTCAGGTCTTGTTTTTTTGTTTTTCAGTTTCTGTGCGCTTTTTCATAGTATTGTTTTATTTTCAAAAGGGTTGGCAAACTTTTTATTTTGTCGTAAGACATCAGGAATGTAGAAGCAGTTGCACAGCATGGAATAATAGATGTCTGCTAATTGCATACTTTTGCAACTGAAGTAATACCTAATTAGGGATTGTTTTCGATTTTTAAAGAAATCCTGCTCCTCTGCAAAAAAAAAAAAAAAAAAAGGCTTCCAGGGCAACTTACAAATCAGTAAAAAGAAAGTTTTTATCTCTTAATGACCTCAGACATACCATTTGAAAGGACACAACACAAAATTAAAATGGTTTGCAGAATAGAGGAGAAAACAACCAAACGCCCTTAGTTTTCACATGCTTTTTATTGGAAAAAATACAAAATGGAAAGGCACTGGTGAAAAGCAACAGTAATAATAGAATTGTAGAGTTGGAAAAGAGCCACAAGGGTCATCTAGTCCAACCCCCTGCAATGCAGAAATCTTTTGTCCAGCATGGGTCTCCTTCACAGTGAGATTAAGAGTCTTGTGCTCTACTGACTGAGCTGCGTCAGTAGACAAACTGTTTGGCAGATTACACAGCTGTTTTGAGCATCAGCCTCAGAGAATCGACAGTCCAGGCATCTGTTGCTCCATTTCTAGAATGCAGTTGAGGCTGAAGTTGCAACCACAGCGGTAGAGCTTGCGCAGCCTGCCCAAGCCCTGTACGATATAAGCCAGACTTGCGTCTCCCAGAGTCTCGCAACAGGTAATGTTCAAGGTTGAAAGGGGCAAGCACCCCCTCGAAAGGTGCCTAATTCCCGCGTCGGTGATATTGCAGTAGCTTACTTCGAGGATGTTCAAGCTCCTCATGCGCGACAGGAACAGCAGCCCCTCGTCCCTGATCTTCTCACAGCAGCAGAGTTTGAGGTGGCGCAAGCCGGGGAGGCCCTGGGCCAGATACCGACAGGTGAGATTGGTGAGCCGCTCGCATTCCTCAAGGTCGAGCTCCTCCAGCTGCAGGCAGCCACGGCTGGTGATGCCCGCAAGGTGCCCAATGCCCACGTCGCTGATTCTCTGGCAGAAGCTCAGGTTGAGACTCTTCAGCCTGCTCAGGAGCGACATGGACGGCAGAGCCCCATCCCCGATATTCCCACAGAAGCGGAGGCTGAGGTGGACCAGGCGGGGGAGGCCCTGGGTCACGTAGCGGACGGCATGATCGCTGAGCTGGCCGCAGCCCGCCAGGTCGAGTTCCTCCAACTCCAGGCAGCCGTCGGCAGTGATGCCCGCGAGGTGCCCAACGCCCACGTCGGTGATTCTCTGGCAGAAGCTGAGGTTGAGGGTTCTCAGCCTGGTCAGGCGCGACAGGGGCACCAAAGCCTCATCTCTGATGCCCCCACAGAAGCGGAGGCTGAGGTAGCGCAGGCGGGGGAGGCCCTGGGCCACGTGGTGGAGGGCCACATCGCTGAGTCTGTCGCAGTTCTCTAGGCTGAGGCACTCCAGCTGCAGGCAGCCCCTTGCCGTGATGCCCGCCAAGTGCCCTACGCCCACGTTGGTGACCAGGTTGCAGTGGTCCAGGCTGAGTTTCTTCAGGTGCAGCAGCCTGTTGCTGAGGAGCAGGAGGCCCGCGTCACTCACGTGCCTGCACCCGAACAGCACCAGCTCCTCCAGGCCTTTCAGATGCTTGCCAATCTGTGCCAGGCTCCTCTTGGTGACGGATGGGCAGCCGGTCATGTTCAGCGCCCGCAGGGAGGGCAGCCCGGCCCGCAAAGCCCGGCACAGCTCGCTGTAGGTTTCGGGGGTGCAGGTTGCTTGGCTGACGAAGCCCATGGTGACACAGGGCGTCATCACGAACCGCACCCGACGGATGCCCCAGGCTGCCATGTTGGCCAACATCGACGGGTCGTTGCGGAGATGGCACAGGGACACGGGGGCCTCCGAACGCCACCACAAGATCTGGTAGGAAGCGGCTTGCCAGCCGCGGCACACCTGCGACACCTGGACCTGGTCCTCGTCGTCCAGGTACTCGAAGATCTTGATCAGCAGCTCCGGAGGCAGGAGAGAGATGGGAGGCGGCGGCGGCGGCTCCTGCTCGGAACCGCTGCTGCTGCTGCTGCTGCCGCCGTCGTCCTCGGGAGGAGGCGCCTTTCGCTTCCTACCGCCGGGACCCATTGCCTGCGGAGCCCGGCTGCAGACGAGGAAACTTCGCCTTGCGTCTGGTTAGCCGCCCGGCGCTGCTCGAGACTAGCTGCTTGCTGGACCCGTCCTACGCTACTTGTGCCTGAAGCCCAGCCCAGCCCAGCCCAGCGATGGGGCGGGTGAAGCCAGAGCCCCCGCCCCTTCCAGGATTATTCTAAAGTCATGTCTTGCTTCGATGGGCGTAGCCAAGGAAACGGGGAGCAGGGGGCAGCTGCACCCCCAAATCGAGTAAATCAATAAAAATACTTATCTGAGGTTCTGTCCCCATAACATGAAACTTGCCTCCCCCATAAATCCTGGCTACGCCCATGCTTCCTTCCCCATAATCATAGGAGCTCCTAGGGGCCGAGGTCCCTCCCCCATAAAATATTTAAGGAGGCCGCCCCCCAAAGTTGATAGGCACTGCCATTCAAATAGGGCGTGCGTGTGTCGTGTTATGTGATCGATTATGCGCTGTGGGCTTGCCTTCCCCCCAATATTTCTTTCAAGTTGGCCCCTTTCCCCAACATGCTACCCTCCAGGTGCTGAACTACAATTCCCGCGAACGGCGAGCCCGAGCCTGGGCTAATCATCATGGGAGTTGCGGTTCAAAGCTTTCAGGGGGCGCCTCTGCTGCTGCTTCGCAGAATTTGGGAGGGTTGAGGGTGTTTTTTTAAAGAAAAAATACAATCAAGTGCTATTTCAGTTTTATGCAGTAAGTATGTCGCAAACGCCGCAGCCAGAGTTTTTGCAAAGGCTTTGTGCTGTTTCCCGTGCAGGTCTCCTCTGGAGTAAGCCCCGCTCCCTGCCATAGACCTTATTCCCTAGCAAAGCGTGCCGCGCGATGGCTGCCTTCGCTTTCAAAACTTTGCCCCGTCATCTTAACTTTCGCTCCTCCCCCTTTTCCGGATTGGCTGTAGCTCCTCCCTCCTGTCGCCTCCACTTTCCTCGAGGAGCACCATTTCCCCCCCTCTTGTCTCTTCCTGATTGGCTTAAGCTTCTCCACGCCCTCATTGGCTCGGAACTGGAGTTCGGAGCTGCGGTTTTTTCATTGGACAGTTAACGAAAGGGGCGTGGTGATTACGGCTAACAGGACCCGGATGTTGCCGGGGAGGCGGGTCAGTTGCAGTTCCGGGTCTGCTGCGAGATGGATTTGGGGGCAGCGCAAGAGGGGAATCCGCCCCTGGAGCGGGAAGGGGTCCAGTTCCTTCAGCAGACAGGTGAGGGGTTCTCTGGGGGGAAAGGGGATTAGCATATGGCTTTCTTGAGGCGGAGGGGCCAGGAAGCGGCCCTTGAAGAGCCTCCATTTTCAGGAATAGCCTACCTTAAAACTATCAGGTGCTGTCTGGGGACAAAGTAGAGGGGTCGTCGTTGTTTAGGGGTGTTAAATCGCCAGCCTGTCGATCTGTAGAGGAGCAGCTGCGTTTTGTGGCAGCTTTTCAAAAGGCAGGTGAATTTACAGGTCTTCTCAACGACTTAATCTCGCAATCTGTCACAGGGGGAGGTCTGTAGCTGTCAGTGGTACAGCCTCTGCTTCGCGTGCAGAAGGTGCCCTCCATCTCCAAAGCAAGGTTGTGAGAGAATTCCTGTCTGAAATCCCAGCGCAGTGAACACAGGTCTGGATGGGCCAACGATGGTCTGACTTTTTGTAAGGCAGCTTCCTAAAGCCTATGTCGTGATAAATAAAAACTGGTTTGCTGGCTGGCTTGCTGTAGTGTTCTAAGCGCTCCGTGGAGGTTTGCAAAGGTTTACAATTGGATAGATATGATACAGGAGGGGAAAGGAATGGAGAGGGAGGAGGAAAGCGGGAGAATGCAGGTACAAGTAGAGCAGGCATCCCCAACCTTCGGCCCTCCAGATGTTTTGGACTACAATTCCCATCATCCCTGACCACTGGTCCTGTTAGCTAAGGATCCTGGGAGTTGTAGGCCAAAACATCTGGAGGGCTGCAGGTTGGGGATGCCTGAAGTAGAGCAATGCTAATTCCTAATCCTGTATGCGGGGGTGGGGGTGGGTTAGGATGTGGCAGAAGTCTCCATTGCACCTGCTGGAATCATGGGCAAGCAATATGGCAACCTCCAATATGGATGGTTCTGCTGTACTAGCTTGGATGTAACGCTGCAAAAAGCACCAAAGTAGTTGCCACCGCTAGCACCTCCAAATGCAGCAAAGCCTCCACCATCTCATTGAATGAATGAATTTATTAATACGGTCACAGACCAGCATCAACACACACAATATCACAGATCATTAAAAAAAAAATAAAATCAGAAATACAGAGGACAATATGAGTATAACAAGGATTTAAATATAAAAAATTAAAATTAATTATTAGCGTGCCCCCTGTAATTAACATTTGGGGGTTTGGTCATTATTGGATACCACTTGCTTCCTGCGATTAATTGCAGACGCACAGAATTTGGCTACATTTAATGTAGTCTTGGGATTCTTGTCCTCTAGCAGTAGTTTTAAACTATGGTGTTCCGATTCTTTCCTGGACTTTTGCAAAACAGGTGTAATAAAAGTCAAACGTATATCCTCATAAAGACGACAACGTAATAGTACATGTGAAGCAGTTTCAACTTCCAACGAGCCACAGGGGCAGACCCGTGCTGTGCATGGTTTACCCTCAAATCTGCCCTGAAGTAAGGCAGAAGGGAGAACATTGAATCTGGCGAGGGTAAAAGACCGTCTGTATTTGGGTACCTGGAGACCTGACAGATAGTTAGCTGGAGAGAAACCTCTCCCATGGTCCCTTATTGCTGGATGTTTGATCATTTCGCTCATGTGGCATTGTAATTCTACGTCCCAGATACGCTGGCGAATTGTAGTCCTAGCTTTCTCGAAGCCTGTCGCTATCAGGGTCTGCTGTGGGATCCCCAAGCCTTTAAGCTTTTCCAGCAGTGTAGCTTTCCATTTGGATTGGTAGGTATCTAATAAGGTTAAAGGTGCCAGCCCAACCGGGAAGAAAATAAGCTTTAGCCAATAATGGATCTTCAATATCCATATCCGAGTACTGATAGGAATTTGCCCAACCTCCAAACGGACTGCTATGTTGGATACGCAAGAGGGGATCCCCAGCAGGCAGCGGAAAAACTTAGTTTGAAATGCCTCTAAGAGAGTAAGGTTTTTAAAGCTGCAGATCTGGGATCCATATAGTAATTGTGATAGTATTTTGGCAGCAAAGACCTGGGAGGCTGCCGGTATGTATTGGCCCCCTTTCCCATAGAAGAATCTTATTAACGCTTTGGTAGATCTTTCTGCATTTGCAATAGTATTATTAATCTGACAGCGCCAGGAGCCCCTTTCCTGGAAGGTTACACCCAGGTATTTAAAGGTTGCTACCTGTTCTATTAAGCGATTGTCTATTCTCCATTTGTGCCTCCTCCTTTTTTTAGAGAACACCATGACTTTGGATTTGTTGTAGTTAATTGTTAATTGTTCGATTAACAATTCCCATCATCCCTGACCACTGGTCCTGTTAGCTAAGGATCCTGGGAGTTGTAGGCCAAAACATCTGGAGGGCTGCAGGTTGGGGATGCCTGAAGTAGAGCAATGCTAATTCCTAATCCTGTATGCGGGGGTGGGGGTGGGTTAGGATGTGGCAGAAGTCTCCATTGCACCTGCTGGAATCATGGGCAAGCAATATGGCAACCTCCAATATGGATGGTTCTGCTGTACTAGCTTGGATGTAACGCTGCAAAAAGCACCAAAGTAGTTGCCACCGCTAGCACCTCCAAATGCAGCAAAGCCTCCACCATCTCATTTATCCAAACCCTCACTCAGCCATGAAGCTCACTGGTTGACCTAGGGCCAGACAGTGTCTCTCAGCATAACCTACCTCACAGGGTTGTTGTAGGGTTTAAATGAGGAGGGGGAGAACCATGTATGGCACCTCGATACATGCAGTATCAAGCAACCTGTAGGTACTTCTGCCTCTGTTTTTTTTATTTTTGGTGTACTAAGTATTTGTTTAGTTTATATCTTTGGTTAATGGGATTTTGCATTCCCAGGCAATCCCCCATCCAGGCTCAGATGAGACCTAGACAAAAGTGCCACATCATGTACTGTGTGTCACGTGTACCGTGTAATATGGCATTGTACCTATGGCCTACTTTTCAGCCAAGGGTGGCTCTCAAAGTGACATGCAGCAATCTACAAATGGCACCTTACAGTGGCTACGATTTGTTATGTTTATGATTTATTTGCTTTGTTCATATTAAGGGCTGGAGCCAACACTGGGCATGTGGCGTTCTGCTCATGCAATGGGACTTCCCCTTCCTCTCCTCTCCCTGTATACTTTCAAAATCTGCTCCAGGCATTCCACCATCTCTCTGGGGTAGATTTTGGAGTAGGGAGCAGGGGTTACAGAGGAGAGTAGTGGAAAGTTCCCTTGCGCAAGTGGAAGTCTGCGCTAGCAGAACAGCGCTTTGTATCATGCTTTGTATAGCTGTCTAAAATAATTGACCAGTTTTATTATTTCCCCTGCCTCTTGGATGAGATTTTTGCCTTTAATCTGTTTGATAACTTGCAACTGCATTCAGGTGTTCTAGATCGCTCACATGATAAAGGAGAGCAGGCTAGATTCACTCCACCTTCTACACGTCAGAGAAAACTTTTGGCCTCCAAGGGAACGCTGTGCATTTTAGACTCCTGGTTTTCTAGCAAACTAAATGTTTCTTGTGGGGGGAATATGCAGAGCAGGCTCCTCACTTCAGAAGCTATCTCTCCAGTTTGTGGATTAGGTGTGTGGAACTAGCATGCTTGTCATCCTAGTTCTAGACTAATTTCCAGCTGTTGTTTTTCTTTCTCCCCACCCCCCTTTTTTTGAGTCCCAGTGAGTAGGGAGTTCATGGTTTTGTGTTTTTTGTGTTTATTAATGTTATGTTATGACACTTTGTAGCCAAGATGGCTGGAATCGGGTTTAAAAAGTAGGATAAAAGTGTTGAAAGCAAAATAATTTATTTCATTTATGAATTTGCTTCCTATGAAGCATTTCAAAGTGACTTCACAATACCGTAAAAGTATATTCAAAACTATTGCATATCTAAAAATAGGGTGTATCCAATGTAGCACTAACAGATGAAACATTGTTGCACAAAAGAATACAGGAGTAGATGACTGCTAAATATGTTGCACAATAGCTTGTGCTGTCTGTTCTGCAGCGTTAAAACTCACCTGTTCTCTAATACAAGAGGACCTGCACTACAGACAATGTTGGCTAAAGCTCAGTTAAAACTAGTGCATGTATAAGAATCTTGACTTATAAGGCTTTTTTGGAAGAGGAAACAGACACAAAAAACTATAGAGATGTCACTTTTCTGATATGTAACAAGAGGAAGCTCCAACGGGTAAGTACCACCACATAATGTGTTGAATAGACCTACTGATAAGATGGTATCTGCAAGTTGCCCTTTCCTGCAGAACGCAGTGATCAGTTGGGTATTGAATGTTTGAAGCTATCTTTAAGTTATACTGTGATTGAGTCAGTCAGGAATTTATTAAAGTCACCTGAGCAGGAGGCAAACTAGAAATTGCACAATGACACATGAGTGAATGGTTTGGCTGTTTCTGCTCAGGTGTGTGCCACCACCAACCCTCTGAAGCAGATCTTGGTGGTGTGCAGGAGGCTGCAGGCAGAGCTGCCGCCGACTCCTTCCCACCAACTGTATCTGTTCAAATTTCGAACGGGACACTTTGGGTTTTGGCGAAAATTGCAGCCTCAAATCAGTTATAAAAAATGACCGAAGAGCTAGCTGACTTCTGTGTAACAAAATTATTTGTCCCCTTGAGGAAGATGCTTGGAAACTTCTCTAAAGAAGCTCAGGAAACTGTCTCATGAAAGAATATAGTAGGAGTTAATCATAATAATTTTATTATTTAATACCCCACCCATCTGGCTGGGTTTTTCCAGCCACTCTGGCCGGCTTACAGAATATATAAAACTTAATAAAGCATCAAACATTTAAAAAACTTCCCGATACAGGGAAGTTCTCTAACCCCCAGTAACTACAAGAGTGCACAAGAGACTGTGCGCCTCTTTAGTGGTTGCTGGACTTCACTTCCCATCCCTATCCAATGGACATTCTGATGGGGACAGATGAGAGTCCATCAGCATCACATGGGCATGACGCTGGCTCCTGCTGCCCTTCAGCCAAGCCTAATTATTGTATCTGTTTGTGTTCTCTTCCAGTGGGCTCACTTTTTGCCGACTATGGGTGGTACATCCTCCTCAGCTCCGTTGCGATCTATCTTCTTATACAAAAGCTCTCGCGAAGCTTTCGAGACAAGAGGCGGCCCCGCTTGGATGCAGCAGCTGTTGGTTTGTATGGGATTGGGAGAGGATGTGTTGTCCTGCACTGTTTTGCCATACAGAGTGACTTACACACATGCCATAAAACTTCACACAGCTAAATCTGTGTGCACAGCTTACGTGTGACACACACGCAGGCCATAGTTTCTCCTCCTAATGATATTCATGAATGAGCTGGGATATAAGGGCTAAGGTATCCTGGACCTGGAACAGCTTGGATCCAGGGTGTCTTAAGGACCATTTGAATGAATGACATCCCAGCTCATTCACTAAGATCACCCCAGAGCAGCACTGTTAGTTGTTCCCATCACAGAGGTCTGATGGATCACAGCGAGAAGGCAGGCATCTAGTGTGCCTGTTCTCCCCAACCTAACAGCTGATATGCAGGGTAGAACAGCAGCTGTTTTCCTGCGTACCTTCTGGCCTCCAGCCAGCCCCAGAGCTTCAATTCTAGTTGTAGATATTTTTGGATACAGCATTTTTGGTATGGATTGAAGAGAAAGCAGCAGAGAGGGTGTTTTAATTGTGTTTAGAGGATGCTCCCCACTTTACACAATTTTGCTTATGCACATGGGGACCCGGAACGTAACCCCTGTGTAAAGTGGGGAGTCACCTGTATCTTCCTGGCACACCTGGGCCTGGGTGGGTGTTTTGCCCCTTCAGCCAGGTGATTCTTTGGAGGGTCCCCAAACGTTTTGGGGGTTTGCTGTAGGAAGGGGACCCAGGAGGTTTTCAGAAGTGTGCAGAAGCAATGTCCCTGTTCTCTAGACAGCAGCCGGCATCTGGTCTTCCGGCAAGCTTTGTTAACAAAACAAACATCTGAAAGGGCCAGGAGCGACTCTGCAATTAGTGAATTGTGGATTTCAGTTTGACTATTCAGGTGAACCAGTCAAATAATGCAGAGGGGGTTAACTAATTATTTCTGAATGGTATTGCGGGAAAAGATAGCTAAGTTGGGATTGGCTTATATTGGGACGGTTGGATCAATCCATCAACCTCTGGTGGATGATTTAGAAGGATTGGGTCCGGCATCACTTTCACTGTGCATTTTGTGCCAGTATGCATACTCAGCAGAGTTATATCTCAACACAGCTCCTGCCCTGGAATCGTCTTTGGGGTTGAAGGTACACTCAGTAGGCAGTAAACACTCATGGACACCATAAAGATTCGGTCAGATGTAGAGGTTTACTTGACAGGTATAAAAGCATATTGGTGGCAAATATACACAGACATTCACCACTGCCGTGGTCAAGGCATGCTTAGAGCACAGCAAGAGTCCAAGCCTCTCTGTCTTCTTCTCTCACCGCAAGACGCAAGCAAGAGACACAACAAATTCCACAGAACAATTGTTATCAGTACTTCCTGTCCCACTCTGCATGTACAAAGAACAGTTCCCATGAAAAATGTCCTTGCACAGAGAAAATAATCTCAGCCTTATGTTGCTTCTTGAAACTTCTTCTCTGTTTCTGGAAAAAAATGTTTCTCTCTCACACAGACAAGAGGATATCCAACAGGATGAAAGTAGCTCAAGCCTCTTTGGACTACTTTGTGATCTCAGCTTTTGATAACTCTTTTCTGTGATTGGTTTAGAACCCGATGCTGTGGTGAGACGACAGGAAGCTCTGCTCGCAGCCCGTCTGCGCATGCAAGAAGAGTTGAACGAGCAAGCGGAAAAATTCAAAGAAAAACAGAAGAAGGTAATGCTGTTTGAGCCAGGTAGTCTTGTGTTTGACAGTCAAACCGATGTTTGGTAAAACTCTGCTGGCTCATGGGCCTGCCAACTCCTTGCATTCCAGGGAAAATAAGCACCCTACCCTGTGTTGGCCTTTTGTGTACTCCTTCCCTCCTGCGGGGGAAAAGAACTGGTGAACTGTTTGAGTGCAGTCTCTCGCTGCCCAGCCAAGCTACTTTTGCCTGCCCAAGAATGAGTGATTCAGGTTATGCGGCCATGGCGAGAACTGCATGCAAAGGCAGTGGCACTGATCGCGCCCGGCATGGTAGGGCAAATGCCATGGGCCCCGAGAAGTCCACTAGAGCGGACATCAGGTTTTGAAATTTAGGGGTGGGGAAATAATTGTAAGTGTCTGGTGCTGAAAGGAGAAACTCCAGGCAGGATCCCTGCAGTGGCCACCGTCTCTGCCCCTCTTCCTCTCTGCCCTGGTGCCTCTGGATCCCACCCTCGAATGTATGGATGCTACATTGGGGGCCAAAGGCATTTGAGGAAAGTAGATGGTGGCTGGTGATGCTTTTCCTTTCAGGGGTAGGGGTGGGAGAAGTTGTGCTGGCCTTGATGAGCGCATCACTCGTGTGTCTGCAGCTGTTTTGAAGAGCCTGTATCTCCAAATCATGCCCCAGAAAGCTTACTGGGCCTGGTGGCAACCATCCTATATAACTCGCTCCCTTTCAAGAGCCCAGCCCTGAAAGGAGTAGCACTGCAGTGAATGGCTGCAGTGGCCTCTCCATGCCATTTGTGCCTGCTCCTGCCTGCTCCAACTCTCTACTTATCATTTCTAAGCCTGCTCAAATGAAGGCAGGACAGTCTGGTTTTGCTCGGTACTTTTTCCCTGTAGCTGAGAGAAGGGACACTCTGCCACCAGACAGAGGCTCTTACTGGATTGAGAGTTATCCTTTGAATGCAACAGCAGGGGAGTTCCCTGTGTCTTTAAAAGATGTTGACTGGCGTTTGTTTTACCTTTTTAAGGTGTATCATTTTGTAGACCTTGCATATTGGCTATTCAGCCTGTATCTAGGATACTTTTTGGAAAACAAGCTCCACTGCCACAAAAGCAAAACACTGCATGGCTTCGTCAAACAACTCTGCACCCTCTTAGGTAGCAGATGTTGCAATTAAGCATTGCCTCTCTAGGACCTGGTTGCAGATTTTTCTGTTTCTGTCTACCAAAAACAGGCTTACATACCTTATGACCCAATCAGCTCTTTGTTGTGGCTTCCCAGGTCCCTTATCATCAAGTCTCAGGCTTGCAGTGGAGAGAGGAGGCTGATCCAAGGTCTGCCATGGCTGGAGAGCTGTGCTTGCTTTATTTAATAAGGTTTATATGCACCATGATCAACTGAAAATAAAACTCTTAAGCACTTTGATAGTATAAAATATTCATAAGAATACAGTGATGCATCAACAGACATTAAAAACAAAGTGACAATATACATTTATAGAAATGTAGATCAAATCAATAGTATTTAAAAAACAAATATACATGATAAGATTTACATTTATTGAGTTGTTGTTGTTTAGTCATTTAGTCGTGTCCGACTCTTCGTGACCCCATGGACCAGAGCACGCCAGGCACTCCTGTCTTCCACTGTCTCCCGTAGTTTGGTCAAACTCCTGCTGGTAGCTTCGAGAACACCATCCAACCATCTCGTCCTCTGTCGTCCCCTTCTCCTTGTGCCCTCCATCTTTCCCAACATCAGGGTCTTTTCCAGGGAGTCTTCTCTTCTCATGAGGTGGCCAAAGTATTGGAGCCCAAGAAAATGGATAGGTTTGATCTTGCAGTCCATGGGACTCTCAAGAGTCTCCTCCAGCACCATAATTCAAAAGCATCAATTCTTCGGCGATCAGCCTTCTTTATGATCCAGCTCTCACTTCCATACATCACTACTGGGAAAACCATAGCTTTAACTATACGGACCTTTGTTGGCAAGGTGATGTCTCTACTTTTTAAGATGCTGTCTAGGTTTGTCATTGCTTTTCTCCCAAGAAGCAGGCATCTTTTAATTTCATGGCTGCTGTCACCATCTGCAGTGATCATGGAGCCCAAGAAAGTAAAATCTCTCACTGCCTCCATTTCTTCCCCTTCTATTTGCCAGGAGGTGATGGGACCAGTGGCCATGATCTTCATTTTTTTGATGTTGAGCTTCAGACCATATTTTGCACTCTCCTCTTTTACCCTCAATAAAAGGTTCTTTAATTCCTCCTCACCTTCTGCCATCAAGGTTGTGTCATCTGCATATCTGAGGTTGTTGATATTTCTTCCAGCAATCTTAATTCCGGCTAGGGATTCATCCAGCCCAGCCTTTCACATGATGAATTCTCCATATAAGTTAAATAAGCAGGGAGGCAATATACAGCCTTGTCGTACTCCTTTCTTTATTTCTCCTACTTTATTGAGTAGGATTGCTTAAATAAAAAAAGGTTGGGGTGTTTTTTAGCAGGAATGGAAAACAGTACAGTGAAGACACCGGCCTCTTATCAGTAGGCAGGAAGCTCCAGAGATTAGCTACTGCCACATTCCTTGCAACTGCAGAATGAATGTTACATGGCGCTGATAAAAGTGCCAATTCTGCAGATCAAAGCAGTTGAGTTGGCACATGCTAGATGCACGTTCAGTTGGGTGGCTTATCCAAGTTGGTGTAGGTCTGAGCTACATTTTGTTATCAGGCCTTTTTAAAATAATCTAAAATAAATCTGTTGTTTCTCCTTAGGCTGAAGAAGAGAAGAGAAGGCAGAAGATAGTCATGTGGGAAAGCATGCAGGAAGGCAAAAGTTATAAGGAGACCCTGAAACAGAATCAGGTTGGTTTGGTCTTTTGGGAAGGGAGGGACAAATATACAGGGGTACCTCGATTTTTGAACGTAATCCGTTCTGGAAGACTGTTCGATTTCCAAAACTTTTGAAAGCCAAGGCTCAAATGGTAGTTTGCAAATTCAACAGAGAAAATTGAAAATAAACTCAGCAGAAGCCGTTCAACATTTACTTCCGGGTTTTCAGCGCTCAAAAATCGAAATGTTCGACTTCCAAGACGTTCGAAAACCGAGGTAGCACTGCATTCAAAATTGAGAATGAGCTAAAATTGCTGAATCAACTCTTCCTCTAAACAGCAGGAACCTGAGCCTGGAGCATCTGCAGCGGCTGCTGCCCCAAAGCCAAAACCCAACAGGAAACCTTTGCGAGGTGCTGGTAAGTTCCAAGTCTGTTTAACAGCAAACAAGGTTTTGGGTCCCACACTTACCGTATTTTTCGCTCCATAAGGCGCACTGGACCATAGGGCACACCTAGTTTTTAGGGGGGGAAATCAAGAAAAAAAAATCCATCCCGCTGGCTGTCTTGGCCAGCTGGGAGAGGCTGTGCGCGGCTTTGGCAGAAGCCAAGACAGTGAGCTGGATGGATTCCACTTGCTGTCTTGGCTTTGTTTTTAGCCAAGAAAAAAGTGAGTGAAACATAGTTGTGTCATGGATCCCAAATGCCTTGGTACTCTTCTGTTTTGGCTCCCGAACGCCGCAAACCCAAAAGTGAGTGTTCCAGTTTGTGAATGTTCTTTGGAACCTGAACGTCTGACGGGGCTTCTGCGGCTTCCGATTGGCTGCAGGAGCTTCCTGCAGCCAATCCGAAGCTGTGCTTTGGTTTCCGAATGTTTTGGAAGTCAAACGGACTTCCAGAACAGATTCCGTTTGACTTCCGAGGCACCACTGTAATTGGTTTCAAAAGTGAGGTTAGAGCCAAATGCCTGGACCACATTTTCAAGTCACTCAAGAAACTGCGCTGTAACTCCCTTTCTTTTCCTTGAACAGTCATGCTACGGTTTCTCTCTTGCTCCTCTCTTCTCCCAGGTTACAACCCCCTCTCTGGAGAAGGTGGCGGGACTTGCTCGTGGAGACCAGGGCGCCGCGGGCCTTCCTCGGGTGGATGAGGCTAATTCTGCCGGTGCTGTCCATCGACACCGGCAGGCATTAACTTAACTCCACAACTGTGGCTGTCTGTGGGCTGCTTGGCACAGGGACTTTGGGTGGGGGGCTGTTTTTAGCACTGTAACAGGTGGGATTCAGCTACTGAATCCTGTCTGCAGAAGCCCTGAGCAGGTACTATAGTTTGCACATTGGGGCATTCCTCCCTCTCTCCCCTTCTTGTGTTCCATGAAATTGGCTAGGGGAAGGGATCAGGAGAACCATAGGAACAGCGCATCGGGGGGGTGGCGAGATCATTGCATCCGGGAAGCAGAAATGCTTGCGTTGAGTGGAGGAGCACAACATTGAATTTCCAAAGCATTTTAATGTAGCCAAGCTGCCCAAAATAAATGGTGAGCATTGACAAAAAGTGATGCTCGCAGGACGGGGACGGACAGTTCCTTTCCTTTCCGGGAGGCCTGGTGGCCATGGCTTTGCACTTTAGTCTGGATGACGGGTTTTTCTTTTGAGATACCTTTTCTGTGAAATGGGGGTGTTGCCCATTCTGCCTTGCAAGAGGGCTTGTGACTTAACCTTCTGCTGAGAGTGGTTTGGACTCCACTGGAGAAAAGCCTGTTTTAAATGGCAGCGTGTGCTATCCCCCTCCCCTCTTCAAAAGTGAGCTTCAGGCATCAAAATTGGAATTTTCTCAAAGTAGCGGAACAAACTGACATTAGGGAAGTGTGCTGGCAGGTCGGTGCAAGTAATGGTGAGGTAGAACGACACTGCTTTGGGTGTTAGGACCAGGTGGGTTTCCTGCCCACAGTTTCCTAACTGGCTTTTCCACCCAAACTTCCTGCCGGCAAGGTGGTCAGGTAGCATGACTGATGGATTTGTTTTGAGCTTGGCTCTGAGCATCACTGAGGAACCTGTGACTTTCAAGATGCTACTGTCATGCTCCAACCCCCATCAGCCCCCAGCAAAACACCACAAATTCAAATCTTAACATAGTCAAAAGACCTCATAAAGGCACGTTAAAATATGAAGATCACACAACTTTTAACATACGCCAAATTAGAATATATGGTACATATATAGACCAAGGACAGGAACAAACCACAAATGAAATTAACCAGATAGTCTTTTATGGGTCTCTTGCAGTTTAAAAGAGATTCAGCAACAGTTTCCATTATTATTCCAGTAACGAGGTCGAATACAATTCGAATATCATTCCTGGGTATTTTTAATAGGATGAGAGTAAATAATCTATTATGATCATCTCTGTCAAAGTTGCATACAAAAGCCCCAAGCATGTGTTAATGTTTCTGTTGCTCCATCTCTCCTATGTAAACAAGGAAAGTATTGTGTGAGAAACACATGAAACCAGCCTTCCCAATCCTGATGCACTCCAGGTTTTCTGACTCCAACTCCCATTCAGCCCCAGCCATCACAGCCAATTGTCAGGGCTGATGGGAGTTGTAGTCCAGCAACATCCAGAGGTCCACAGGTTCCCCAGCCCTGCCTTTGGGAGTTTTCAACGTCCACAGTTATGGATGCGATTGTCCCTGTACCAAGCAGCCTTGAATGATGCAGTCCTTATAAATGGTGAACGTACCACTAATGGCTGCTGAAACTAGACAGCAAGTGGAGAGTTTTTGCCATTTCCTCTTTTTATGTTCTCAGCTTTGTATGACAAATATATATATACTGTAAATAACATTACAGCAATTTCTATAGCTTTTTTCTATAGAGAAGTATGTATTCTAGCTTAATAGATGTGTCTCAAGCAAGTAAATTGGTTGTGTGTGGCTTTTTCTGAAGATCTTCCTTCCCCGCCCCTCCCTCCCCGCTCAAAATATTGTTAATTAATAAATATTATTTATATAGTGCTAGCAGCGTACAGGAGTCTTTGCAGAGAAGCATAAGGGAGGGGAGGAAACATACCCAGAACAAAGCAGGTCTTGCTAAGGGAGCTTAGCTTGCAACCTAAAATTTTGCTGGAGAGGAGGATATTATCTGCATATGTTTGAAATACTTTGGACTCCTTCTTTGACAAAAAGGGGAAATAAAAGAGGCTTGCAAGCAGTGCAGAAATAAAGACTACCATGTAAATAAAACAATTGGAAACGAAACACGAAGCTAGGGCTGTAGTCCTTGTACATGGGGGAAAGCCAATATGGTGCTCTCTTGATGTTGGCTGGATTACTAACTCCTATTACCCCTAACCATTGGCCTTGAAAGCCAGGGTTGGTGGGTCTTGGAGTCCACAACTTGAGGAGGAAATCATGTTGGTGGCTACTGCTGTACACACTTAACTTGGGAGTAAGCCCCGTTGAGTGTTGGCATTATATAGGATTGCCCTGTAAAGTACAGCAGACTAAAACAAGTCGTGGGAAGAACTCACAAGAAACTATCTTCAGCAGCAGTCCCCAAGTCTGCCACGGATGTGATCCTCTCAAAAGCAAGTTACATTCATCTCAATGGAACTTATTCAGAGAATCAGAGAACTGTGGTGTCGGAAGAGACACCAAGGGTCACCTAGTCCCAGCCCTCTGCAATGCAGGAATCACAAGTAAAGAATCCCTCATCAATTTTTGTAAAAATTTATTTAATCATTTTTTCAATAATAATAACCACAAAAACACATGCAACAAAAACCGCAACAACACTAATAATTCAATTTAACATTTCATATTTGAGTACTGATATACCTATGACTACACCTTTTTAACAATATTTCCCCACCTCTCATCCCCCTACTTCCCACCACCATCTGCCTTATCGCTTAAAGATTCCTTCCAGATTTCTTTATATTTATCCATTCTTAATTTGCGTCGACATGCAATTCGTTCATATGTGGCTAGTCTGCCCATATTGTCAATCCATGTGCTCCATGGAATCTTTTTGCGGCTCTTCCAATTCATCAGAACAAGTTTTTTGCTTCTAATATGGCACAGTACATCCATTTTTTGAACCCCTCATCAATGGCCATCCAACCTCTGTTTAAAATCTTCCAAAGAAGGAGAGTCCGTCACCTTCCAAGGTCGTCCGTTCTGCCGTCAAACAGCTCTTCCCGACAGAAAGCCCTGCCTAATATTTACTCTGAATCTCCTTCTTTGTAATTTGAATCCCATCGGTTTGGGTGCTAACCTCTGGAGCTGCAGAAAGGTGAGTAGAGGATCGCAGCCCTGCTGTGGCTGTGCAGGCTAACACACATCTCCATGGGTGAAAACAGTTGCAAAAGGCTCTTCCTGCTTATCAAAAAACGTTTCTCAGGCCAAAGCCTTGACCAAAGCTCCTTCCTGGAAGGCGGATTTAATTAACATGGAAAGATTTTTATCCTGCACTTAGCTGCTCTGCAAAGGAGTCTTAATTTATTAAAGTTAGGGCCCAGGTGACATGTTTTTTTAAACATGGGGAGGATTTTTTTTTTGTGGGATCCTTTTTTATGCCAAGTTATGTATGCCAACTTTTACTCATGCCACGATGTACAAAAATAAACCAGAGAAAAAGTTTTTGATTTGGTTTAACCCCCCTGTTACACCAGTGGTGAGAGCACACTGGAGGCAAAGTTAGCAGGAGTGTGTACACAGCCCAAATGCTTTGAAAGGATTGGGCAAGTCAGCTTAAAGCAGTGGTGGCCAAACTTGGCCCTCCAGCTGTTTTGGGACCACAACTCCCATCATCCCTAGCTCATAGGACCAGTGGTTAGGGATGATGGGAATTGTAGTCCCAAAACAGCTGGAGGGCCAAGTTTGGCCATCACTGGCTTAAAGGTTTCAGCTGAGCACTTGCTTGTCCCTGGGTCAGTGGTTCCTCCCTTGGGTTGTAGTCAAAAATTAAGAATTCACTGGATGGTGTGATCCTGTTAGAATCACATGGCTGGCAGATGAACAGCATAAGAGTTGAGAGCTGCACTTCCAGGTCCTCTTTAAAAAGCCTGAATCGAGTGACGGTGTGTGAAATGTTGGCCGAGTGCTGTGCAGCTGGAGGGATATTTCCCCTCAAGACTTTGTGAAAGCAAATTGGTCCTGGATTTTGGAATGGGAATGGAAAATCTTAGCAGCGCCCAGAGAGGGATCTAGAAGCTGCACGATGAGTAAGGCAAAGTGGGACAAGCTCTGCGCCAGCTTCAGTAAAGCATAAAGTTACTGCTCACCACAGCCAAGCTGTGGGCTTGCCCTTACTGTAACTGGCTTTATGGGGAGGGCTGCAGCTCAGCAGTGCATCATCTGTTTTGCATGCAGAAGGTCTCAGATTCAATTCCTGGCAGCTCCTAAGAGGGATGTCCCCTGGAAAGCTGCTGAGTAGACTGTACTGAGCTACATGGATGGCCTAAGGATAAGCCAGGGCACGAGAACCAGCTTCTTGGGGCACCTTTGCATTGGCAGGTTTCGGCTTCAGTTGACAGACCTTTGCCAAACCCAAGCACCTGCACAGCCTCACCTGACTCAGACAATAGAGAGAAATAGCCCCAAAACAGCACCATCAGTGCGCAAGGGAGGGGGTAACAGCAGGCTTGCGGGGAGGGGGGGAAGCCAAGTTTTGCAGAAGTACATGTGTGTGTTTTCTTTTGGGTGGGGTCATGGTGGAGGTGATCCAAAGCAGCCCAGTGAGGACACAGCAGAGTGGAAGTAGAGTGCTGACCATGAAAGGTGGAAGTCTGGTGGTGTGTGTGTGTGTAGAATTGGATGGAATGGAACATCCGGAAAGAGGGTATAGCTCACGGGCTGACCAGATGCACTCCACGCTGCAACATTTTGTTGAACGTGCCACTTCTTGTTCTGCATTTGGATTATCTCTCTGGGATTCCTGAGGATTCAATGGGGGGAGGGGGGGGAATATGGCCTTCCACGCCTCTCCACTGCCCCTGGACCTCTGCCCATTCCACATACTTCACTAGCCCTGCTTCACACGCCCAACTGTTTTTCATAGAATTGTAGAGTTGAAAGGGACCCAAGGGTCATCAACCCCCTGGAATGTGTCCCCGAACACGGATCGTGCTTCTTGATTGTTGGGATGGAGGATCAAGAGGGCTCTGTAAGTGTCCGTGGAGAAACTAGCCTACTGTACAAAGGTAAAATTTGCTTCTGTCGCTCTTCTCACTTTTCCTTCTGGCTCCCTCCCATGGCTGGAAGGTTGCAAATGTGGCTCTCTGGCTGAATGAAGGTTGTCCACTTCTGGCTTAAAGCAATAAAGCACACATGCACTCTGGGATGGGCTGACTTCAGATACAGAGCAGCAACACACACCATCCCCAGGTATCAGAAGTCACTGATTTAGTTTATCTCTCTTGTCTCAGAAAGAGAAATGTCTGTGGTCTTCGCTCTCGGCTCGCATGTGCCTTGCTGTGTTACACCCTCTGGAGGGCAGCATCGGTCTGGATTTTGAATGAGCCTCTCTACACATCTCCACAATGGCTCATCCAAGGATACGATTAATATTTGCCTGACAAGATGAAGTGGGGATGCTTTTAAACATCTGGCCCAGAGGTCTGGAAATCTGCAAGGAGCCAGGAGGTGTCTGTGCTGCCCAGGGAGAGAGAAAAAGAGAGTTGTTGGAAATAATTCTAACCCAGACAAATGCTCCTGCTTGCCCAGTTTAGTTTTTCCACGATGACTCTGTTACCTTGAATATGGAAAAGGGTGTATTCCCCACACCCACCCTGATTGCGTGGTTCTGATGGGCTGGTTGGGGTGCCCACTTGCAAAATGGCAATTTCAGGCCTACTTTGGCTTCAATAACTATGAATTAGCTTCATAACATGGTTCCTTCCAGACACTGTTGAACTTCCAATGCCAGTCAACTCCATCAGGGATTAATGTATAGGTATCCACATACATTTGGAGGGCACCATGTTGGCTAACCTGGGACTAGGTGGTCTACAAGATGTCTCAAATTCCATGGTTCTGATCTGTATCTGTTACTTAACTGCATACCCGCCCACATTTCTTCAATGAAAATAGGGATATCTATCCTATTTGATGATAATAATCATAACAGATAATAGATAATAATTTTATTATTTACACCCCACTCATCTGATTGGGTTGCCCGAGCCACTCTGTGGCTTCCGACATATATAAAAACATAATAAAACATTAAACGTTTAAAAATACAGGGCTGCCTTCAGATGTCTTCTAAAAGTTGTATAGTTACTTATTTCCTTGGCTCAGGGATCGCATAACTCCGCACCCTCCAACATTCCTCCGATGAAACTAGGAATATCCTAAGGAAAAGTGGGATATTCTGGGATCAAATCAGAAACGGGGCGGCTTCTGTAAGTTCTGACTGTCCCTGGAAAATAGGGACACTTTGGAGGATCTGTAACTGTAATTAGGACTCTCTTTACATTAGAGAACTTTTAGGTGATGGCTTGCCTTTTCATGCTTGATTGATGGCATTCAAATAAAACTGCACATTGCCAAATCCTCCCCAGAAACGCCTTTTTGAAATGCTGAAGGAATGTAAGGTAATTTCAAAATGTGCACTTCTATAGACGTCTGCTCAGAAGTGAGCCCCACTGAGGTTAGTCGAGCTTACTTCCTGGAGAGCTGCTGCCAGTCTGTGCAGATAGTACTGAGCTAGATGGTTCAATGATCTGACTCAGTATAAGGCAGCTTCCTATGTTCCAAGATTTGAGGCAAACTGCTAACTAAGGGCTGGGCCTATGTCTCCCCAGGTATTGTTGGACCACAACTCCCATCATCCCTAAACATTGGCAGGAGTTTATGGGCGCTGGAGACCAACAACTGGAGGACCACAGCTTCCTCACCCCTGTGTTAATCCATCACCTTTATGTGAAGATGTGAGGGGTTTATTCTGGACCATCCTGTGTGGCAGCCACATGTTTTCCTACTTTTTTATTTTAAAGGTTTTGTATTTTAAAAAGAGAGAGAAAGATGCCAGCCTACCACTCATTAGAAGTCCATTTGTTGATACTGCAACACACAGAAGTAGGCTTGACAAAAAGCCCCAAGTATTAAAATTTCCTTCAGTAAATGGAAGTTGTCCCCTGCAATTAATCACCTAGAGGTTTAATTGATTCATCTACTTAAAACTGTCTATGAGATGTTGTGTAATTAAAATTGCTTATTGACTAGAAATGAGCTTAAGTGTGTGCATGTGT